CATAAGAGTGGCGAGAGTGGGCACCCTGCCTCGTACCACATTCCAATTCAAAATAGCTGGATAGATTACTGTTAGTGCGTGAAGCTGATATATACCTTGCTGCGTACTGCTGCCATTGGCAAGGTATATATCAGCTTCACCCATGAAACAAATTTAGGGCCGAAGTTAAACATCTCCAAGGTCTTAAAAAGATAGTTCCACTCCACCCGATCAAAAGCTTTCTCTGCGTCCAGTGAGATTAAAATTTCACTGCAGTTGTGACCGGTTTTTAATTTTGTTATATGACTTTTCTGAATACTGGTGTAAAGAGCCTGAACACGTGCAGAACGTTTTGTCGCAGCCGCCAGTGAACTGTTTCCCTGGGGACACGTTTCCTCGCAGCACCGCTAAGCGCATTAGCATGCTAACGTTACTGTTGGAACAACTGGCGGCGGGTGGTGTGTTTCAGCCGCTTATATGGTCTGACGTAAAAAAAACATCATGTTTTCACCATTGCTGAATAGTAAACACGCCTTCAGTGACGTGCACGGTTAGATTTAATGCGTTACGTTAAAATGGAGATGTTATTGCATGGAGACTCTAGTGTGCTTCTATTGTGAAAAGCCCGGGGGGGGGGAGTAGTTTTGTAGTGTAGCTGAGTTGACTGGTGTGTAAGGTGAGTCGTCCTTTTAAGTTTTATTAACGCGTAACGATAGACCAAATAATGTTTTTTCTCAACCCTTCACGATCGGACCTTAATGCATGATTACTGTCTAYAACCAGGCAAAGAAGAAAAGATGTACAAGAGGAGGGAAACAGTGACACAGAGGTACAGTAAAAGAAAAAAGTCAATAAGCAAAGTTTGTACATTTTATTATCGGCTGAGCTGTGAGGAAAAAAATACCTTGAAACCGGTGTAATTGTTGAAAATACCTTGATACAAAATTTGGGTCATACCGCCCAGCTCTACTTTATGGGTTTTTCAGGGGGGTGAAGGAAGTGCCGTCTCAATCTAAGACATTCATTCTGCTTTTTAAGCCTGGAATCTAAAAGCTTTTTTCTTTTTGTCTTTCTGCTTCTCTGCAGATGTTCTGTGGTCTGCTGATGAGTCTTCCTMCTCCAGCTCTTTGTTTCTTGTTCAGCTCAGGATAAATCAGCTGATCTGCAGCTAAAACCTCAGCGTTTCTCCTCCTCTCCGCCGCCCGGCCTCGCTCCTCGGCTCCGATGGCACGTCTCCTGGTTSCGGTGTTCCTGCTGGCCCTCCAGGCGCACGCTTCTCCCCCCGAGCTGGTTCAGACAGGACTACCTGTGGACCTGGGTCCAGGACTGTCAGCCAACGGTTCTGAAGCTGCTTCGATGTCTCCGCCTCCAGGAAGCAGCAGGCGAGCTCCACACAGCATCATCATTGGCGTGCGTAAAGGAGGCACGCGGGCRCTGCTGGAGATGCTGGACATCCACCCCGAAGTGGCCGTCGCTGCCACCGAGGTGCACTTCTTCGACTGGGACGAGAACTACGCCAAGGGTCTGGACTGGTACCGGGAGCTCATGCCCTACTCGTCCCCGGGTCAGATCACCGTGGAAAAGACCCCCGGTTACTTCACCTCGCCTCTGGCTCCGGAGCGGATCTGCGCCATGAACTCCTCCATCAAGCTGCTGCTGATCCTGCGCGACCCCACGGAGCGGGTCATCTCGGACTACACCCAGGTCTACTTCAACCGGCTGGAGAACCACAAGCCGGTGCAGGCCATCGAGAGGCTGCTGGTGCGTGGCGGCGCCCTGAACGTGCGCTACAAGGCCATCCAGAGGAGCCTGTACGACGTGCACATGCGCAACTGGCTGCGYCACTTCCCCCTGCAGCAGATCCACATCGTGGACGGGGACGCCCTGATCCGGGACCCGCTGCCCGAGCTGCAGAAGGTGGAGCGCTTCCTGAACCTGCCGCCCAGGATAGTGTCCTCCAACTTCTACTTCAACCAGACCAAAGGCTTCTACTGCATCCGCACCGACGGCAGGGAGCGCTGTCTGCACGAGTCCAAGGGCCGGCCCCACCCGGCCGTTAACGGCACCGTGCTGCAGCAGCTGCGCTCCTTCCTGCGGGAGCACAACCGGACCTTCTTCAGGCTGGTGAGGCGCACGTTCGACTGGCAATAAGAGAGCCTGAAGCCCCAAACTGGACTCTGCCGAGCCTCTGTTTGGAACAGACTGAAGACTGGATTCAGAAAAAGCACTTTACATCAGACAGAGGCCTTTCAGGGGCCTTCGACTGATTCTGGTTCAGGACCGGTTCTGTCTTGTGTTCTGCACACAAACAGCTGGAGTTACTGTAAAACTGCAAACAACAAAACATCAAGAAGTGTTTCCATGTTGGAAACCTTTAAAGGGATAATTTGGACATTTTCAAGTGAATTCTGTGGAAAAGATTTCAACATTTAATCTCTTGCCTCAGTTTGGATAAAAGGTTTGTCTCTGACAGGACTGATGAGCTGAAGGCTGGTTAGAGCCAGTTGGTTTTATTTTTATTAAAGTATTCAAGTAAAAAATCTGATTCTTGTCCACATAAACAGAGCTGCTCCTAGCTTTAATTTCTCTCATTTCCTTTTTAAATTCAGCTTTTTCTGCACAAACCATGAGTAGTTTAACTTTTTCTGTGTAGAATCAAGAAGAAAAGCACCTCATTTATTCATGAATAAAATAACTTAAAGTCCCACAGAAAACAGAGAAAAACTTCAAATGCAGAAATTTGTACCATTCAGCAAAATACTGGACAATTATCTTTAATAAAGCAGAACAAACACTTTAGTTTAATGTCTCCAAAATCACATAGTTTCATGTTTTCATCATTCTAATTTAAAAATATGAAACTCTGACGGAGAACACATGCRTTTAAAGTTATTTATTTAAAAAAATTAATTGAGCTATTAGCAATAAAAAATGCCTTGATGAATGAAAGAGATGTCCCAAACAATAAACCATCAAAATTAAACGTAAATGCTTTTATTTTTAATACTGGAAGTGACTCCACACTGCACCAGACGTGCTACAGCTAGCTGCTACAGTTTACAAGCAAATYATYCCRTTAAACTCRCTGTGAAAAGCTAAATTAATGAATAACATTCAGACTAGCCATTGGCTCATCAGTCCTGTCAGCATTAAACACTTCCTGTCCATACTGTGTTCATTCAGAGAGCTATCTACAACAGGTTAGATATTGCTTGTTGAAGTGGACCCACAGAAGCCTCTCCAGAATGTCCTGACTCCTTTAATAACAGTGGAAACATGTTGATAAACCTGCTGACGTTTCTCCCTGCTACATGTTTGATATTCTTCTTCTTCTTAATAATAAATTGTCGGGTTTWAAAAGGTAAATTGTCACATTTCTGTTCTTTCAGACGCAGCCGGAGTTAAAAACAGGCTTTGATTTTCTGCGGTGTGAGGTGGACATTAATGAAAGGAAACGGTTCGCAGCAGCAGCAGCAGCAGCAGCAGCAGCAGCAGCAGCAGCAGCAGGGTCAGCAGCAGCAGCAGCAGCAGGGTTAGCAGCAGCAGCAGCAGGGTCAGCAGCAGCAGCAGCAGCAGCAGCTGAACTCACATGTCCACAGTCAGCTGCTGAACTCTGCTGCCTCCTTCAACAGCCTGCTCAGGTGGATAAATTATGGACCTAACAGTCCTGTAAATTATTTACACGTGATCTGGTATCTGTGCAGATGCTTTTCTGCTCGTTAGCTCTTCCCTGAAATGCAGTTTTCCCAGAAACAGCTTGTCGCCCCTGCGCACCACAAACAGAGCCGGGTCGTGTTTCTTTCATTGATTCGACTTTAAACAGCAGCCAAAGCTACAGCTCCGCTGGGACCTGATGTTCATGTGATCTCCTGCGCTCTGTCTGCTGGAATAAGCACTCCCAGCCTCCTGAGGCCAACACTCAGTGATGCTGCTCTGGATCTGGAGCTGCTGTACAGAAATGTGCTGAATATCTACATGCAGTTCAGCAGGGTGACCTGGGGTTTAGGGTTATAATTAGAGTGGAAAATTAGACGTGTAGGTGAAGAGAATGTGCTGATGAAGCTAAAGAACATGAAGCTGCTCACAGACGTTTCTCTCCTCTGCTCACCAGGGGGCTCCTGAACCCACCTGAACCCACCTGAACCCACCTGAACCCAGCTGAGATGTGTCTGACCTGCAGCTCAGAGTTCAGATGTTCTCCATCCTCTGGTGAAAACAGAGGTCAGGGTCCTGAGACAGTTTAACCCCTGAATCTGGATATGTCCTGAACATTCAGGAGATACAACATGGATGATGGATGGATGGATGGATGGATGGTTGGATGTACAGATGGATGTACAGATGGTTGGATGTACAGTTGGATGGATGTACAGATGGATGGATGTACAGATGGATGTACAGATAGTTTTTTTGGATGTACAGTTGGATGGATGTACAGATGGATGGATGTACAGATGGATGGATGTATAGATGGATGTACAGATGGTTGGATGTACAGATGGATGTACAGATAGTTTTTTTGGATGTACAGTTGGATGGATGTACAGATGGATGGATGTACAGATGGATGGATGTATAGATGGATGTACAGATGGTTGGATGTACAGATGGATGTACAGAT